GGCAATATAGGACACATCCACACTCCAATACAAAGATGATAGCAGGCTATAGGCAAGGCAGAATATCAGTTGCCACAGCATGACTGTGAAAACAGAACCATCAAGCACTCTTCCTTACCTACGTCCTCTGAGAGAGGTGTCAGCAGGGGAGGACCTTGCTCTGGCTCAGGTTCATCTGGTTCTTCCCTCTCTTCATCTTCCTCTTCTTCCTCAAGTTCTTCTTCTTCTCTCTTCTGTGAAGGATTAAACCAAGTACAACGACCCTGCAAAACCAAATTGATACTTGGTTAGGAAGAACAATGGGAAAGATCAGGTCAGGTACCCATTCAAATACAAATCAGCTGGAGGAAGTGAAGATGGATTGGCCACACCACAAGGAAACATCCGGACAGTGTACAAGGCAAGCCTTGAAATGGAATCCCCAAGGAAAATGGAAAAGGGGACACTCAGTAAACACCTAGCAATGAAATGTTTATTACCACTAAAATTTAAAGTTTTCATAATGATTTTGGCTAATTATAACCAATTTCAAAATAATCAGAATTGTTGGGGATCAGGACTACTGTGAGGTTACTGTCACGTTGAAACTCACCCCAACAGTTAACTAGCCAGACATTCAAAGTTACCTATGCATAGCTTACCTGTGGAAGAACGTACTGGACATGATGAACCCAGTTTGCGCATGATGGATCAGCCATGTCATTAATTGAGAGTCCTTCAAACTCATGATTCACCACAAAAGAATCTCGAGCTGAAATTGCACAAAGCATTGAATTTAGTATTCAGATAGTGACAAAGGGAATGAATGGAAGAAAGAAAGGAAGCTAAAGAGAACAAGGGAGAAAGGCATGGGGATAACAAAAAAGCAAGAGAAAGAAAGAAAGAAAAAGAGAGAAAGAAAGAAGAAAAGAAAGGATGAAAAAAAGAGAGAATGAAAGGGAAAGAAAATATGAAAAAAGAAATAGAGGATAAAAGAAAGAGAGGACAAAGGAAAGAAAGAAGGGTAAAAAAAAGAAAAAAGGGAAGGAAAAAAGAAAGAGAAAGAAAGAAAGAGGAAAGGAAAGAAAGAAAGAAGGCAAGGAGTGTATTAGGTGATAAAGAGGAAAAAGGGGAGCAGAGAGGAAGGAAAGCACATTTATTGTATGAAGAGAGAAAAGCTTGGAAGGGAGAAAGGAAGGAAGAAGGAAAGGAGGGAAAGAGGAAAATAGAGCAAATGAATATGCTTTGTACCTCCTATATCATCATCCTCCTCCTCTTCTTCTTCAAACATGTAGTAACCCAAAGGACTGATGTGTGTTGTAGCAGATATTCTGGCAATTTGAGCTCTCAAGTAGTTGGCTTCATTTCCGGGGAATGGTGGATAGCTCACAACCTATTGATAAAAAAATCTCTTGATTAAAATTGCTAGGTTGCAAATTAAACTAACTGAAAGGCTTACCATATTTTCTGTCCATTCATCAGTGCAGCAGATTACCCACATCAGTCAATTTTTGCAATAACGAGAAAAAAATTTATACAGATTACCCACACTGGTAGATAACCCGCACCAAGAACTGTTTGTGGAAAAATAAACAGATTACTGGCGGATAATCGGCCGGAAATAACAGTAACACTTTACACCCTAACATCAGTAAGCGTATTCTCCATACTGTTCTCTATATATTTTCTAATGCATTGATCAGGAGAATTTATGGACAATCACAAGCTTCTTTAGTTGGTGATCATTTAATTCATTCTCATGACTTTGGTGTGTGACTCAAGGGTGATTTTGTAGGGAGAAATTGGATGCTAGTCACTCTCAGGGGTCAAAGGGTAAGGTATATTATTATATACTCAACAAAATATCGCGTTTCTGATTGGTCAATGATGAAT